AACACTCACCCGATCCGGAGGAATAGACTAGCACTTGCGAGAGCAGGGTTGGATCCAAGTGGCGCTCAGTCTAACCATCTCCCACCTTTCATGTTGACATTCCTTAGGACGTCAAGCCTCATTAGTGATTAATAGGAGAAGGATTTATTTATTATTATTATTAGTATTACTATTTTGTTTAGATCTTATTTTATTTGAATTAGTCGAACCTATCACTRTAGGGTGCTTTGGAGTATTATTAGACGCTATTGGGATACTTATTTTACTTATTTTCTTGGTTGGAATATTTGGTTGTAATATGGCTTGTTATGTGGTTTGATACCTACCTATAGATGGGGTGTATGACNATGAATACACTTATTCGAATTTGTTGGGGTGCTTCTCTAATCTTTGAGGTTGTTGTTTGAAACTCGTCCCAGGTTGTGGGAAGTACTTTTGTTTGAAATTTTGTTGACTATGTGATGCCATGGAATTGTCTAACCACGACACAAGTCTCCACTTGTGACGAGGAAGAGACGTCATGACACTTGGATTAGTATTCATTTAGTGAGTTCTCTGTTATCATATCATTGTGTTATGACAATCCTCTCCATCACACTTCGCGTTTCCGCCTAGGCGGGGTGTGACACCTGCTGAGGTGAAATAAAATAAAATCTCGACAGAGCAAAATTTCCCAGTGAACAAATAATAAAACCAGAGATAACAGAATAAGAAATACATAACCGAAAGAAAACATTACGATAAAAGCTGAAATTGCATCAAGTGTAAATCTCAAAAATTGAAACTCATATAATTAAAAGTCAAGGCCAGAAGGTCATCCATATCATTAAGATACGTTTTTTCCTTAGTAGTCCAATCAGACGTTGTCATGGAATGGAAGTGTCAGGCACTACACTGTCTTTGATATTCGGCTCTGTCTGGTAACCAGTGGAACACCGATATTTGGCTGTATCCCGATAACTAGAATTTCAGTCAAAGGATTCGTCCAACATTCTCTATTCGACTTGGCCATAACCCTTACGAGAACAACATGACTATTTTAGCCATCATGGAGGCGTTTCAACACCCGTGTCCCAAGTAGTGATGGCCAAAATTCGGTCCCGGGCCAGAACAGTGTCGGCTGTAATCGGTCCGGTCCCGTCGAATAAACTTAGGCCCGGTTTAGGTGTTTTGTAACCGGTTATGGGTAACCGGTCCCGGTCCCGGTCCCAACCGGTCCCTACAAAAAAAGAAAGATATTTTTTTTTAAATTTTTTAAAATTTTTTATAATTTTTTTATTGATATTTTTTGAATACATTATAAAATTTATAATTGAGGTCACTCAAATATATTTTAAAAATGTGTTTTATTATAAATAAATTTTCATTCAAATATTCAATTACATTCAAATATTCAGTTTTTTGAAAATATACTGGCCCCGTTTACTAATCTCTTACCGCCTTTTACCCGGCTCTTACCCATTAAGAGATGCTTACCCGGGTAAGAGGTAAAATTGTTTACTAAAAAAAAAAAAAGGCTATGACCGTCCTCTTACCATGGTCAGCAAAAAAATTCAATCTTACCATGGTAAGAGGTCTATTTTCCGTCTCTACCCTCTCTTCTAAAACCCTAAAAGTGGATGAGTTTTCTTCATACCAAGTGCGACAGCAGCTTCTTCAGGTATGGTTATTGATTTTTAAGAGATCTCTTCTTCCTTCTATTGATATCTAACATCCTAATCGATTTCTTGATTTCTTCCCTTTTTCCGATTTCATAAAT